AACTTATTTTGCTCTCTTTTCTTTAAAAAAAACAAACAAACTTTATTGTCTTTTAGAAACAAGACAAACAACAATTCAGCACAGCCAAGTCTAAAACTAAATCTGAAATGTCCAGCAAAACACCGGTACATGAATTTCAAATACACATCAGGGTCAAAACCTATAATCCATATGATAAATCAAGGGAAATAAAAGATAAACAAAAACAATCAAACATAATGTTTAAAGACAAACTGTGATCCCCCTTTGTGTAATAGCTTGGCAAGCTCACTAGGCAGATGATCAAGCAAAGATTTTACTCTCTTTAGATGTTGAGAGCTTTCATACTACAGAAATCAAACATTTAGCGTTTAAAAGTGTAAATCATTGAGGATGTATTTCATCATCTGTGTCAAACTTTCCAAAAGTTGTAAGTTGCTTGTTTGCTTCTCATGCAAGCGTTGCATCATGTGGAGGTTATTTTCCTTTGACTGAACTCATCATTAGCTTGTGTCGCGCTAATGAGCGGAGGTGTGAAACTGTGAGAGGCGCATCATTAGCAGGAATGCGTTCACACTCTCGGAGGGTTGTTTGTGTGTGTTAGCTAAATGAGTGTCTGCAAAACAAACATCTAACTTTAGGTCACTGAATGTCTCAGAGGAATCTTTCCATCAATCTGCAAAATAAGTTAACAAGCGTCTGTTTATACAATAGTTTATTCAACATACTGGACAGTAAATTGTTCCAGGACACAACATTTTAAAACTACTTCTTTCTCTAAAGATGCCAGAAGGACTAAAATTCTGACTTATTGTTTCATGGTGCAGTACTTGGGCTGCATTAGCTTGTGGAACTTCACTTGGCTGGTTTATCTTGTGGAAATGAAACACAAACCTTATTTCATACACATGTAAAGGAAATTCACAAGCAGTTTATTTAGGATCAATTGAAGGAAATGAATCTGGAATCATAAATTACAATCACTTTTTACCTCCTCAGTCTCTTATAATACAAACATGGAGCTCCTTGACTCTAAAACAGGCCTCATCTAAGTATAATACCAGATTATTTTAACGTAGACCAAAAGTATATTTTGCACATCTTACTATTGGTAGCTAAAAAAACTATAAAGGCTAATTGGAAACAAGTTTTGTCACCATCTATAGCAGAGTGGAAGAAGAGGTTAAAACAAGTGTATATGATGGAAAAGATGACCGCATGTTTACAACACAAAGTGGACAAGTTCAATCAAAGATGGCGATTGGTGAAATTATATTTGGGTGTATGATTTTGGGCTGTAGTGATTTTAGAGAATTGCAATCTGCTCTGTCATCAGTATTCTTATGGTATATATTTGTATATGTGTATATACATGTACGTATACATGTATGTGTGTATATATTATATGTATTTTTTGCTGTTTGTTTACTTTATGTTGTATTTTTGGCCTGTGTGTGGGCACCCTGGAGGGGAAGGGGTGGGTTTGTGTGTACGTATGTGTACATATGGTAGTGTGTATGTGCAGTTTTCTCTTTTAGGGCATTCAAAGTTTCAGGCGATCTGGTTTATTGTGCTGCAGTTATTTTGAAATATTGTATATGTGGCATCAGTATTTCTGTTATTGATTTCATTGCTCTTGGCTCAGGGAATGTTCTTTTGTTGTGAAAATTCTTGAAAATAAAAAGTTCCATAAAAAAACAAAAAAAACAGGCCTCATCTTTTCTGGACTCACATAAACCTCGGGCATGACCACACTACGTTCGTTAGACTTCAGAATAAACCCCAATTATGTCGGCACAATGCTACACATTTACAGAGTAAGTAAGGCTGGTTGAAGACGTCCTAAAAACAAACGCTTCACGGTGAGTTACATCCATGAAAAAGGTTTCAGAAGCATCAAACTCCCCACTCCAGGAACGCCTCATGTCCCTTTGAAAGACCACAGGATAGTCCTGAGATCACACCCCACAATAACTCCACACCCCAGTTCATCCTCCCAGCCAGGAAAGGGACGGGACACAACAGTGTTCATGGGAAAGCGCTGAAAGCCTCTGGCAGGCGCTAAAGGGCCACTAGAGCAGTGTTTTTCAACCTTTTTTGAGCCACGGTACATTTTTTCATAGAAAAAATCCCGAGGCACACCACCAACCAAAAATGTTAAACAAATCTGTAGTATATCTATAGTAACACTATAGTTATTCTTATCTTATCTTAAGTGTCTTGAATAGGAATCAAATAAACACAAAAATGTATTTTTTATCATATTTTATATTTCTTCTTTCAAATTGCACTTAAAATGTCCACTTCAATATACAAATTTATATACAAAATCTAGTCATAAGGAATTATTACATGATTACTCCACCAGTCACTACTACAGCACAGACACTCAAAAATGGCATATTAATTGCAGATAATTAATTCCTTATCAAAAAATCTTTTTAGACCAATTAGGAGAAATAGGATGATTTTCTACGGCACACCTGACCATCACTAACGGCACACTAGTGTACCGAGGACCAGGGGTTGAAAAACACTGCACTAGAACACATTGAAACTGATTACAGATTCCAGACCGTTTCACGCTGCTCACACTTCTGTGCACTCCATGATCTTTTCACATCCAAGTTACTGCATTAATTCTTGGTCACAGGCCACAAGCACCACTATCAAGCCTCTTCAGATGATGCACAATAGAGCTATAAAAATCTTAGATAAAAAAACAAGTTCTGAGAGACTGTAGTTCCTCTCAGAGATGTTGGGCTATGTCTCAAGAGGAGCTCACAGTGGAAACTGTCCAGTACCCAGACGCAAAACTTCCTTCGGACAATCAGCTTTCACTGTAAATCGCACCAAAACTCTGAATACATCACCTGCAGAACTGCAGGGAGAGTCAGACTGGGTCCTTTTTAAACATAAACTTAAAGGCTTTTTATTGAGAGGTCAGACATGTGAACATTGATAATCTAACTGACCTGATCTTGTATCTGTGATGTTTTAGTGTGTGATTTGTTCTGTTGTGTGCAGTCACTGTGTTTTGTGTAAAAGCCTAACTGGGGACAGGCATTGAGAATTAGCCTTTAGCTAAAATGTTGTAGTGTGTGACATGATTCATGAAACATACAGTGGGGGAAATAAGTATTTGAGCCCTTGCTGATTTTGCAGGTTTGCCCACTTACAAAGAATGCTTATTTTTCCTCATCAGATGGTTATCAATTTTTATAAATTTATATGATGTGATTTCCTGGAATTTTCTTTGGGATTCTGTCTTTCACTCTTAGAATGTACATATGATTAAAGTTATGGATCGTTGCATTCTTTGTAAATGGGCAAACTCCCACTGTACATGTCCCTATCAAATAAACAAATAAATAAAATAAAAACCAGGACAGGTACTCATGGACTTCCCAAAAGCAATCACCACCCCAGATAAACACATGCACCATCACTTTGAAGGCAACGAGCAATTTCATGAGGCAACATCAATAAAACTGACTTAAACGTTTAATAAATCTTCCCCACATGTTGTTATGCTGTGTACAACTTTATGTTGGTATAAACAGTATCTCAAGAGTCATGTTTATGTTGTAAAAATAAACTTAGTAGTTGTATTTTGTGTATATATTAAATCCCAATTCAAAACACATCTGTTTAAGACGCCTTGACTATCTGAGGCCTGTTGATATCACCATTACTTATGTCTATTTTATTGATTTTATTGATCTTTATTGTTGTCTCTTTATTGTTGCATCTTTATATTTGTACGGTGT